TATGCTTGGGGTTGCAGGAGGCGGAATTTTCTAGCATTGAGGTAACATGTTTTACTCTAATTTTGAAGATTGCAGCCATCTGCTTCATTATTTTTCAGCACATCCATATTTAATAAACTTGCAATCACATTTGAATGTTCAACTTTGCAGAGACAAATGCAGTTGGAGAGGGGACAAATACATTCTCTTATCCTGAAGGTCGCAAGGGAGTTGTACAAATATCTCGATGGAGTTGCTGGAAAGGAGATCGAATCAGCCTTCCCGCGCTTGAAAGAGGTGCCTCCATGTTTTTAATTGCTTTGTAAATTGATCCATCAACTGTGATCATAAGAGTTTACACGAAACCAAGAACAAAGTTTGGATCTTTGAATCCGTGCTGTGTGCAGAAACATATAGTTCAGATTGATCTCTCCTGAGAGAAAAAGAATAACTAAGAGTCTCAAGCTGTTCTCATACTCTTGTGTTTGCAATTGATTAGTGTCTTCTGTTTTGCTGGTTGCAGAGAGAGCTTGAACCTCACAATGTATCAGTCGACGATGATATCAGGGAAGGAGCAAAACAAGTCGAGGTAATTCTACTTCTATCCCTGTGCTGTGTAAAAATATTATATTTGTGTTACTTAGGTTAACATGGAATGGAATTGTACTTATATCGTCTATAAAAGGAACAGATGATGAAGGAGAAGATTGAAGGATTGATGGATTCTGAGCTTCAACAATATGTAATTGGGGACAAAGAAGCAGAGGCTCTGCAACAATCAAAGATACCTTCAAGTGGTAATATTAGTGTCAAGTCCACCAAATCGGAGAATGACAAAGGTTTTGACAAGTCCACCAAAAAGAGAAGCAGTGATAAACGTGTAATGGCTTCCGGGAAATCCAAATCTTTCAAGAAGCGAAGAGCCTGAAGGAGTAACTATAACAGATATATTTGAGCATGTGCTATGAAAAATTCTGTTAAAATCCGAAGTTTTGGTTATGTTTGTTGTAATTTTGATTTATGATTAAAAATGGTACGGCTGAAAAATCTTTACAGAAATTATAAATGTTTTAGCTTTTGATAATACTATGTGTTGGTTGAATATAGTTAGAAAATTTTAAAAAAGAGAGTTGGAGCAAAAAGAGATTTATGTCATGTTAAACCTTTTCTAGTAGCATAATAGATTATATATGTAATTGATGGCTCAGATCGAGTCAGATCGAGTCAGATCGAGTCAGAGGAGGTGGATACAACTGATGATGGTAAGCATGTGCAAAATGATTGAAATTTTGGAAGTGATATGATGTAATGGAAGATGTTCAATGATTATGATCTCTCGCTTTTTATTTGGTTTCTTCTATGACTTTACAAACTCTCTCTATTCAATGTAACTTCTCTCAGTTATCAAAAACAAAAATAAAAGTAGCTATATAAATAACTTTGAGTGCACGACAACGTACTACCCACCATTTAACATATGAATGTTCATATCATAATTTTTCTATTTGTACTCTTGAAGGATGGCCACTCCACGCCCCACGGTTGGATTTCTAATAAAGTGATTATCGATAGCCTTGTGTTAAAATGATCCACATATTAAAATCCCTAGTGACGTTAACATTAGAGATGAACAAAGCTTAAAGATAAGGATCAAGAAAATACGAAATAATTGTACGTACTGACACGTTGTTAAATAGATAGTGTATCTTAAAAACTATACCAATTCGAATATGTTGAGTACTCAGTGACTCTTAAGATTAATGTCGTCCTATAATCATATGTTTACTTTCGTATATACACATTATATATGCATGGGAGCTGATTTATAACAAAAAGGTAAAGCTAAAATAAAGGAATGAGAGATAGAAATAGAAGAAGAGAGGAGTAGTTGTGAGTGGTTAAAAGATTGATACCAACTCTTTAATCTCAGTGTCATGTATGGATCTTCCTCACGCGATTGCTGATGCACTTTGGAGACACCTCTTTCTCACCTTTGCCTTCTCTTCTCCACGATCCCTTCTTTCCTCTCCTTAATTATTTCTCTGTTTCTTCCTTACTTTTTCAGTTTTACGTATAACACAAAAACAGAAACATTCTACTTTAAAAACTTAATTCTGTAGAAATATTGAATTCCATGTAAGTTAAGGTTAGTTAATCCATGCATGTCATTAGTTTTTTTCTTTCCACAAGTTCAAAATGAAAATAGGAAACTTACGTGAAAATTTCCATGAAAGTTACTGATACCGGCCGAATTAATATGTAGGTGCTGTTAAATGTCTTTCAGTTTGTGCATTATTGTTAAAACATACACCCAACAACAATCCTATGGACCCTAATCTAGTAACTTGACCAATTGATCATTAAGAAAGTCAATACAATCAACTTTCTTTTTTTGTAATTTGAAAACAAGGAAGGGTTTGAAGAGGACTAAGTCAAAATTGCGGTTTTATATCTCATTTTGCTTCATACATATCCAATTAAAGTTTTATTAAAACTTCAAAGTCTATCATTACTACATAGATAAACAGTTTTACATCTAGTTTTTTTGTTTTCACGAAATATTTATCATACATATAAGTCATGATTGATATATGCGGATGTATATATAATGGAGCAAGATGTGGTCTGCATGTGTACTTTGGTCTGTGTCTTTGGTGGTAAGATGAAATCCAAGAAAGACAAGAGCTCCAGAGATTCAGGTGTGGCCGATCAACTGGAAATCAGCCACTTCTGATTCCTTGTCTATAGTTTTATAATTTTACAAGTCTCGAAAAATATTTAATCATCTTATCTTAATACTAATCTTAAAAAGCAGTATAATATATGTATGATATAGTGTTGTTATCTTTAGACCAGATCGAGCCACATTGGATTAATTATTATATGTAGTTAACAAAGTAGTATAGTATATGACTATATGTATTATTTAGTGTTATCTTTGTTTTATACATCCTCGGTCTTTGAGGTTTTCAGCGAAGCTTAAGCCTTATGCGCCGTTCGCGGCTATTTGAAAAATGAACTATATCAGACAAATCGCTTAATTATTTTATCATCCACAAACAAATTATGCTATATTTTAATAGATAAATTCAAATTAAAGAAATTATTTTATAGGTTTTTTGTAGACCCGTATCAGTAAAACATTGCACACTTCAGAAGAACATTAAATCTCATATTTGATCATTATCATAGCCAATAATATATATAGTCATATACTAATGCCTACATGTGTTAGGAAAATATGATTAAATTTCGATGAAATTTTGATTAAATCCCTATACATATATGTGTGTGTGTTTTTTTTTCTAGATTAGTCTGAGTTTAATTAGTTAAATATATATGATCACTAAGTACATGCATACGTAATTAACGATAGAGTGTGTGTGTTGAAGACATGTGCTTATTGGGATTTGTTTGGCTTCAAGAACCCCTAAAAATTCCTGCAACTGGTCCAAGATTCCATGACGACAAAGACCTTTGGCCTAATTTGTATTGATCCGATTGCCTAAACTTACTCCCTTTCGTAGATCCAAATGAACTCCAGCCAACAAAAATAAATCTTCATTAATTTAATTAATTGTTCTCATCATCATTTACAACCATTAGTATTGTTAACTCAAAAATTAAATCATTTGTATTTTATTTTTTCAAGTAAGTCTTTTTATTTTGGCTGCCTCCAAAATTTCTAGCTTTTACCTTTTCAATTTTTTTATTTATACATTGGTGTCGTACGTGTACATTGTTCAACCACTTGATCATTACGGTAGTATTGACGTTAAATGTATCTTTATTATATAACTAGAACTAGGAAATGTTCTGACGTTAAATATCATTCCCAAATTATGTTTAATAATGTCATTATGTGTTCTGTCAAAAATAAAAGAATGAAATTTTGGTGAAAAAGGAAGGTGTTGGATATATTCTATTGATTAATAATAAGAAATCAGTGTTGTTGATCCGATCTAAGTTTGGGAAATGTGGGAATTTGGTTGAAGTTAAGAGAGTGTATAAATAAGGATTTAGGAGAAGTTGTTGTAGGTGAGAGATTTGGTCTTATTCAAATCACCAAACACAGTACTCCACAAGCTCGTTTTATCTATTATAATCACATTAATCTACAAAATATTACAGATTCTTCAGAAGGTTGTCTGCGTTTGTAGTAAATTAAAAAAAATATAACAGAAGTAAATTATGAAGTGGTGAATCTGAGATTACAAAACAATAATTTAATATGAAACGACAAATAAAACATAGGAAGTGTTTGGTTTCTTTAGACTTACGCAATGTTTTAATTAGTTTGAACTCTTCCCGATACCTAATTGGGAGTTGAAAAATTCAGTCCTCAGCCAAACCCCATTTGTGGCTCTCACTCTATTTCTTGTGTTGCGCCACACAATACATATACACTATAATCTTTTTTTTTGGTTTTCTAAAAATATTCATATAATCTACCTCGAGAGATATACATCATACAATAATCTTGTGAACATAGGAAAACCACAAATTATATGAGTACACACAAAGAAGACAGAACCGCCTATGTTGTATCCATAAATATATAATGTTGTGTGTGAGTATGTGTGTGTGTAGGTTCACAATCTATTTTGTGTGTCTATCCTAATCGGTAACTTAACACAAACCACACACCTACAAGGCTACAACGTAACTAGAGCTCTTAAATCACAACAACATTTTCTTGATAGAAAAAACGTTGTAAATAGCCAATTCATTAGAATAACATTACATCCACCAAATTCTTCGTACTTTTAATTAACTTCGTGGAAAATTCTACGTAAATTTACAGAAAATAAAATAAATAATTGAAAACAAAAAAAAAACTAAAGACCACTCGTAGACAAGAAAGACAATCATATCCGGAGAAAAACCAAATTGCAAAAACGCCCACTAAGTTCAAAACTTCAGTTTCAGACAATAACAAGGAAATGAGTGGCTTAAAAAGTCAAGAAAAATCCTTTATAAAGCCCCGCGAGCGTTGTTCACTTTAATGCACATATAGAGAAAAAGAGAAACACACAAAATAAGTGTGAGAAACAGTCTCTCTCTCTCTCTCTCTCTCTCTCTCTCTTTGAGTCTTGAAGTCATCATGCAGCTCAAATCATCATCACCATCCTCTTCTTCTTCTTCTTCTTCTCCTTCATCATCCATGAAACTCAAAACGCTAATCCAAAATCTCCTCACACACCCTCTCTACCGTTTCCTAAGAGCTCTCGCCAGAGCCAAATCAATCTTCTTAGAGATCTCAAAACACAACAAAAACAACAACATCAACAACAAGAAACGTAAACTCATGATGTTTTTTCCAACAAAGGCTTCAAAGAACCAACGCAAGATCTTCTTCGGATCTTTCAGATTGCATTACAACTGGTGTTCTTCTCATGTCGTCCCTGTTCCTCAACCTTTTCCTTTTGACGTCAAAGGTGTGGAAGACAATGATTCTCATCTCTCTGGCTACCTCGAGTGGCTCGAACACAAGGAAGTCGAAGACGCGGAGGAGATCAGCAGAGATGTTGGAGCTGATGATGAAGAAGATGATATCGATCATTTGGCAGATATGTTCATCGCTAATTGCCACGAGAAGTTCTTGCTTGAGAAAGTCGAATCTTACAGGAGATTTCAAGAAATGCTAGAAAGGGGTTTGTGAATGAATGAGTTATCAGAAGTGAAACATAGATTTTGACGATCTTGTCTGGTTAGTTAATAATCATGTTGTAAAATCACAATTAGCTAGTTAATTTGATCTGATAATATTACCACAAGGTGGTGAATTGTGTATCTTGAAAGTTTTTGGGGTAATGTGCGAGAGAAGTTGAAACTTTTGGGGGGTAGTAGTGAAACGTTTGATATTGTAAAAAAACAATAATTGTTGTTGTCTATCTAATTGGGCACATCTAGTTAAGTTGTGTAGTTCTGATTAGTGTTTGGTAAATTACGTCCAACTTGCCTAATTTTTTTTAAAAATTACGCCCAATCTTGAGAAAGTACTTTTAATTAAATTAATTAATCAAACAAGAATTACCCAAAAGAACATGAAAGACCAATAAAGTACCTTTACTGAAATATCAAGAGTGTTAAATACATAAAATTTCAAACTGAGTGTATAAAATTTACTATTACTGAGATAAATTTGTAGTTAAATAGTATCAGACAGTACCCTTAGGCAGTGATTTTTTTTAAAAAAATAGTTATGCAAATGTAATGCAGAGTTAAAATAAAGCAGTCGAGTAAAATGATATGAAAAGCTAAAGAACACCAATTAATGTTTGTAGAGATTATAAAGTGGAATTTATGATTTTTTAATCTCAATCGTAAATATCTTGGATATATAATTGTTTGGATAAAGAGAAACATCGTGATCAAATAATAGCTAAAAAACACTAAAAAGATCGAACAAATCTCGAGAAAAAAAATATCTAATGAACAATTTACTGTGCCTTCTCAACTACTAATAGATCCAATTTTCACCTAATTTTGGACTTTTGAGGACTTTCTTTGCTATATATCTATCCTTTGTGTACGTAATTACAATAGTCATTTCTCCAAATGATTGTATATTTACTTGTAATATGTATCTTATATAATAAGTAACAGTTTTCTTATATAATGTTAGAGAAATAAATACACGCCAAACATCAAATCAGATGAAAGGTTAGTTTCCAAGTTATTAATCAACATACTCTTTATTTTATTTTTTCCTTCATTTCAAGAAACTACATTGTTTTAACTTTTAAATAATTTTCTCCAAAAATTCAAATGCAGCTTAAGTATCAGACTTCATTAGAACTTTCCTGTTTAATAATAATACTTTGTAAAGTACTTATTTTGCTAAATTCTGGTAAATATATACAAACTACACATACATAATCTAGGCACTAGGAAGACCCGTCTGAATAGATCAATATTATAGTCAATGTTCGACACCCCTAGATGTTGTTACGTTGACATTTGCAGTTTTTTTGTAGCATACTCAAGACCCAACATTTATATATCCATATATTTTGAAGAAAGGTACGTATACAGTATACGAAAATTAAATATGACTATCTAAATGGAAACCATATAGTTTCTAGATAGGACTGAACACAATGCGAACAGATGCCACTGGTGAAATGCAAAACTGATAAGGTTTTTTTTCTTTTGGGCTAACACCATTTTTTCATTATTATAGTATGCAATAAACAAAATCTATTATTTCACTTTTAGTTAAAATGAAAAAAGACAGAAAATAGCAAAACCATAGCGTCATCTAATCTTTAATCAACAACGTGGACCGATTGGATAAGCTTGAAATTATTTATTTGTTACGGATAATTTAAACTCCTATTTGTTGACAAAATTAATCAAATTAACTCCACGAGAATAATAAAAAAAAAAAAGTTAATTAAAGTAAAGTTCGGTTACACAACCCCTAACGTCTTCCACAAGTCGTATAAACTTCCGTCTTCCACAAATCTTCATACTCTTCGCTTCTCTTCTCATTCACCTCTGCAACATATTCTTGCTCCATAGATCGTTCGAACTTAGGGTTTTGCTCTAAACCACAGACGTCAATCACGTCATCCCTCGAGTTTATTGATTCTCTGTCTCTCGCTAATGGCGGACCAGAAAGATCAAGGAACAAATCCTCCCGCCGGTACGTCTGTTCATACACTTCCAATGAGACTTTTAGATAGAACACCCCAATCTAATTCTTGTAACATTTTGAATGCAATCTTCAGTAATTAGGGTTTCTAGTACGAATGTTCGGAATCCTCTGCTTTTCGTTTTGATTGATCCATTTATGGCAACGGCTCTGCTTATAAAGAACTGTCTTCTTGTATTTGCACCGAGTGATCTTGATTCTGCTACTTGTCGTGATGCAGAAAAGCCAGGTTTTCTACCATTAAAGAATGGAGCCATGGCTGAAAAATCACTCGCTGGGTATAACAGAGCACCCGAGTCTAATTCAAAGCCTTGTTTATCCGACGAAAAGGTCACGAAAGAGACACTCAAAGTACTCCAGAAGAAAGCTTTCTACTCTGTTCTCCAAGCTTTCGGTTTAGAAACCTCGACAATGTCAAACGTAACTGCAGTACGTAAACCTTTCTCTTGGTTAAATCTTTCTTGCTCTTTTGCCAAATTCGTTCTGTTTCCTGAGTGTTGTGGCTGATGTCTTCTACTTATCCAGAAGAAGAATGAGATCATTCAGAAACTGATGAACGAGTGGGCGATATCTGACGAGACTCGCATCTCTTTTGCGGATGAGATTCAGAAGAATCTTCTGACCCTTCAACAAAGGTATGTGTATTCTTCTTATTAGAGCTGTACATACTTGGAAGATACTTGTTTTCTTCCTTGTTTAACACTCATCATTGTTTTCTCAGGGAGGATGCATCTGTCTCTGGTGAGAAGGAAATGCGGATAGTACCAGAGACGTCCTTGACCAAACCTGTAGCTGTAAGGCAAAGAAATTGAAAACTCTGTTTTGGCTTTCATTACCACAGAGTCCTAAAGTTCATTGCCTTTTATCAATTCTTATTTAAGGCGACGCCGACTTCGACTTTAGTTCCTAAATCTAAAAATAGCTGGGGCAGTGTTAATCCCGAGTCTCTTATTGGCAAATGGGTTGGTGTAAGACTGCCTGATGAAGCTAAGTTCGAAACATACATCATCAAAGAGTATGATGCGACACAGGTACTAGCTAAACCATTTCTTATTTGTCGTGCCTTTTTCCATCAGACTCAAGCCGTTCTCAGATATCTAGTTTGCAATTTTCCCACCAGGACATGCATCGCCTGATTGAAGCAGACTCGAACGCAATGGAGGTTGATGGCTCGTATAGCTGGTTTGATCTCAGAGAAGTAAGTAATACACAAACTGTTATCATCTCTTTATATATCAGAAGCTGAAACTTTTTGATCCAAAACTGGTTTCAGATTTCTTCTCAAGATATCATGTGGGAAGGTGGAATAAAGCCAAACTTTGATACTCCCAAACAAACTTCAGCTACAGCTCGACGCGCCCTTTTCTGATAACAATGCTCTTTTACAATCACCTTCACAGCATACGTTGACAAGGTAACTTTGCCAATGACAACACACGTACACTCTCTAAGAGAAACTCTTACTCCCTTGGCAGAAATTTTCAACAGTGAAAACTCTTGGTTTTAATGCAGGGCAATGCTGAGACTGACGAAAGACCCTCTTTTGCATTTTGTTTTGAGATCTTTAGTTAGCCGCCTGTACAATCACATAACACATACGTTTTTGGTGTTGTTTAGTGGAATTAGTGAAGAAACGAGTCAGTGTTAAACAGGATTCAGATATACTATTTGGATATAACACTGACTGAAACGAGTCATTAGCTGATATTTTCTTGACTCTTGTATACATTTTTTAACAGCTTTCTTTTCCTGAGCCATGTATTAATTCTTCACAAAATTGCAACTATTAATCACAGCCGTTAGATTAGAATCCAGTAACCAATCCAAATAGTAAAGATGTTTAAACTAACCGTGAATTTACTCTTCAATTGCTGACGTGTCGATAACTATTAATCCCAATTAAGTCAAACTAGTCAAGTGAACTAAGAAGTATAATTAGTCACAGTAAAAAAAACACAAACTCCAAAAGCATATAAAACACGTAAAGAGAGAATCTAAAATCTCGTTACTTCTTCTCTCATCGACCCATGCAACGTTGTTGAAGATCCTTCGATTTCTAGGGCTTCTCTCTCAAACTTCATCAACAAGACTCTTCTTCTCTCTGATTCCTCTCTCTTCTCAACAATGTCTGACCAGAAAGATCAACCCCCAAGCTCTCCATCTCGTAAGTCTCTCTCTTCTTAACTTTCTCATGGCTTTTGCGATTCCAGCAAATCAGGGTTTCTGTAGTTTCGGATTCCTCTGCTTTCTTCTCTCTCTGTTTTCTTCGGTCCCATTGATGGAATTAGACTGATCGGTGGTGAATTTTCTTGTGATCTTGATCCGTTGCTGAAGAATCAACTGAGCTACCGATCAAGAAGAGAGATTTTACAGAGCCTATGACGAGTTATAGAATTGACGCTGATATCCTGCTCAGCCACATGGACAAGAAAGAGAAACTCAACACACTCCAGGGAAAGGCTTACTTTTATGTTCTCCATGCCTTCAGTGCAGAATCTCCTGAAATGTCAAACGTAATTAACTCCTTCTTTTCTTCTATATGCATCCATTACCTTCTTGGAAGTTGTGTTCATCCCTTCTGTTCTTCAGCCTAGGACTATGATCATGAGAGAACTGATGAAAGAATGGAATATTACGCTCGAAACTCTTACTAAGATTGAGGATGCAATCAAAGCTGATCCAGTGGTCCAACAATTGAGGTACCTTAATCATGACTTTCACTACTGCAACGATGTGATCTCCTTTCCCTGTTTCTTGAAGTTTGTGTTGTACCCTCTTTTTCTCAGGAATGTTTCATTGGCGTCTGATGAGAAGGAAATGCAGAAACTTACTGCCACTAGTGAACTGAGTATTACTGGCGTAGAAGGCCAACCTCTGAAATTCCGTGTGAAACCGAACAGAGACGACTGGCCTAAAATTGTAGGTTTTAAAAATCATCTCTTCCTAACTCCTAACGCAAACAATTCAATCTGGCTTTTGATAATTCTTGTCTTTTCCTTTTCTTATTGCTCAGGGAGACAGGGTTTTAGCTCCTGCAAAGATACAAGATGGAAAGGTTATACCTCCTGCAGAGATACAAGGCAAAGAGGTTATACCTCCTGCAGAGATACAAGGCAAAGAGGCAAAACCGAGTTCTACTTCTGACGATTCACCTGCCCCAAGCTGGGGCCAGGTTTCTCCTTGGTCTCTTGTTGGAAAATGGGTCGGTATAAAAATGCCTTACGAAGACGAGCACATTAGATTCCTCATCAAAGAGTATGACGAGAAAACAGTAAGTCTCTTCATGTTTACATGCGTGTTCTTCGTCAGCTCAGGTCAGGTCTCAGCCCTTCTAAGAAATATAGTTTCCAATCTACAGGAGACGCACCAGCTGGTGAGTGATTTCAGCAAACAGGATTTTGAGGACCCGTGCAATTGGATTGATATCAGACATGTAAAATCAGATTGTTCGATCTCTTTTTCAAGTTTTATATTTTCCTCTTTTTCAGAAGCTGAAACCCCTGATCTTAAACTTTGCAGATTCCGGCAGAGGATATGGAATGGCAAAGCGGACATCCCGGGTTACCAGTATGGAAATGCTTTCCTAAACCAGGCGAAACTCTCTTGCTCAAAACCAGTACAGCTCGAAACAAGAAGCAACTTCAGGAGGTATCTTGCTAACAGCTCGAACAATTTTTCTTGTGATACTTAACCCTTTCACTGAAACAACTTCTCAATAAAACGCCTATTAGGTTGGTAAAACGAGCACTGGGATTCCAATCATCAGAAAAGTTGATAAGGGAAAATCTCCAGAGCAGTAGGATGCTGAGATGACAGATGCACGACAACATTCCAGCCTGGAACACTCTTATAACCTTGTTTGAGATCTTTGGGTCTTTCTAAAATCTTCTAAACTCATATTTTGCTGCTATCTGGAATTAGAAAAGTGTTATAAACAATTCCAACACTCCTTTAAATGACTGCATTGTAAACCTCTTCGCAACTTCTGATCCTATAGACAATACTAAAGTACTGCAATAAATCATCACCTCCTTGAACGCTTCTTCGGACGAGTAGAAGAGCCTGTTTCCTTTTCACCAGTTTCACTGTTTCGTTTTGCCATCAGCGGAGAAGACATGGCAGTGCCTGTGCCTCTTTTAGAAGCGACACCAGTGTTTTTTTTTGCAGGACTACCCTTTTCAGTTGTTGGCTTCTTCCCAGTTAATCGTTTCTGACCTGCAGACAGTTTTGCTGCATCCACTTTTTCGTTCTTACTATTACTTTTCCTCTGTTCAGCTCCTCTTTTTCCATTAGAGGAATCACCCTTAACTGTCTCTACGACAGTTTCAGCTGATGAAACCCCTTTCATTCTTTTAAGAAAACTAGCAGCACTTTGCTTTTTTGAGCCACCACTCGGGTTGTTACCCTTCTTTTCTTGAACAATTTTCTTCGGCTCAGAGCTATCGTTTGACGACCGCACTTTACTAGGGAGACCAGCATTCAAACAGGTCTTAACGTTTCTGCTTCCTACTTTTTTGGCTGTTGAAGGTGTTCTTCCTCTAGTCATCTTTTTAGAAACAATAGGTTCCTCATCTTTATCAGAAGTTTCATCTTCCTCCTCCTCTGAAACTTGCTTCTCATCGGCTGTGGAAGCTACTTTAGTCATTTTCTTTGACGGTTCAGTGACTGACACTGAAGATTTAACAGCCAAGGAACTACGTTTCCGACAAGCTATCATAGGCACTGAAAGTGCAGTTGGTTTTAGAGAAGGGACTGTGACTTCCTCCTTGGACATCACGAAGGATTCCTCTTTTGGTGGTGGTAAGGTTTGTTTAGGAATCTTGAGTGTCATCTGTTTCTTGAGGAGTTGGTAAAGCTGCTTTGCTGCATCAAACTCAGAAGATGGCTCGCCATAAAACACTCTCGCATTGTTGATTAGTAGCAGTAGATCCCGAAAAAACGTGGTCCTGGAGGTTTTGTAGTAACCCTCTTCCACACGACTTCGAATGATCTCAAAGTCTATGTGCTGCCTTATTATCCTACCGTACTCGGGTGTTTCCTGCAACTTGACAATGAAATGAATAAGGCTCAGGCTTTACTACTAGACGTGTGACAATGAATTAATCATGATACTAATATAAAAACAGCAGAAAGCAGATTATTTTTCTTAAAGGATTTTTTTTTTATAGAATCGAACATGTTCGATAAGATTATTTTTAATTGAATAAATTCGATAAGGATGTTGTTCCAAGAAAATTAACGAGAAAGTGTTATTTTGCTAAAACAAAGATTGTGTTTTTTTTTTTTTTTTTGGAACACAAACAAAGATTGTGTTTAAAAAGAGAAAAACAAATCATGGAATTTGAACTGCTGACACCTAAAAAAACAAAAAAAGTTAGGACTTTTAATTATTTTACCTGGCTTTCGAGCCGGCGCGAAAAGTAAGAGCCAATGGGGTGAGACTTAACAACTTCGATGAAATCAATCAACGGCTGAGATTCATCGAGGTTCTTATTGACGGTCAGAGATTGATCCTCGTTATCAGGTTGGTTTGGTTCTAGCGTCTCCTTCCTCGGTAAGCTCGCCGAGCTCTGCACGTCACTCGTTTCTTTCGCTTCTTCCTCTCCCTTCGACTCGTCCATTGACTCAACAAAATCGGGCGAGTCGTTACCCTCTCTTCCTGTGTCTGTGTCTTCTCTGTCCGAGTTCGCGGCGCTCTCGCAACTTCCTCTGCCCGAATCCTCTCTTACCGGTTTCTCGTCGTTGTCTTCGCCGCCGATCCGGTTGGGTTCCTCGTCCATTGGTTCAGCGATTTTAACATCGATGTCCGTGTTCTCCGCTCCGGTTCCGGTATTAATGTCCTTTGGATCTGGAGAATGAACCGGATCGTCGACCGGGACATCGGAGTAATTACCCGATTCATGTTGGTTCTCTTTCGTCTCCGCGATTTTAATTAGATCTGAATCCTCGATCTTCAAGCTCTCCTCTCTCTCATCTTCCAATCTCTTCACCTTCAACTGCAATGACCTGTACTCACAGACAAATCCTCGAATCAAAATCGGAGGCAATGCAAATCTGGAACCCAAAAAAAGAAAGAAGAAAAAATAGTGTAGATGGAAATTACGAGATGGATAGATCGTAACGTTCGAGTTCGCGACGGAGCTCGTCGACACGGAGCTTTCGCAACTCCTCAAGCCATGGAACGGAAGAGATCTCGGGGGCGACGGTTTCTTCTCCCTCGGTAGATCCCGGAGAGACTAGTTCACGGGAGAATCGGCGCTTGAGATCGTGGTACTTGTGGCGACAGTCGAAGGGTGAGAGCGTACGGAAAGTGGAGTTCTGTTTCTGGATTTCGTCGGCGACGGAGTCCCATGAATCAGTACCGTGACGGTGAACGGCGCAGGCGAGGAGGAGCTCCTCCATTGTGCTCCATGTTTGTTTCTCTGGGGAACTTTTGTCGTTTTCCGGTTTTGCCATTGGAGTAAAAAATAACTTGTATGATTTATGCTTATTGTCACTTGTCCAAATTTGTAGAAACTGAAATAGAAATGATCTCTCTTCTCTCTACAAATCTCCTTGATCTTGGCCTCTCTTTCCCACTAATAAAGACTACCTTGAGACTCTGATTATAATCGTATAAAGTGTTTTTTTTTCTTTGGTGTTTTCTGTCGGACAAATAATTTTATGAAAGGTTTCATTCATTGATAAATTTGGTCGCCTAGTACAAGCAAAGCGCACCAATTGAGAAAAATATGTTGAGAGAACAACTACTTTGCTCGTTTTGTCCTCGTATCACTTATGTGGGCCCAAGCCCCACCCGAATCCATTTTACCGATTTTAAACCAAACACACCCAATCAAGAGAGTCCATTTATTAATTAATTCGCTTGTACGGAACCATTTAATTTAAGAAGATAACAAGTGAGATACTGTATTAAGTTTAGATTTCAACTGAGTATTCTTCTCAGGAGGGGGCACTGACTACTGAGATGTTCTAACCTGTCTACATCACTTGGCCATTGATGACAAGCAAGAGATATTGAAGTCTACTACACACCTCCGTGGATTAGATTTCTCCAATCTCACTCAAACCTTTCTTCTTGTGTTATGTCAGTGTGTTTATATATACATCAGTTGGTTCCTTTCTTCTTTTCTTTTTCGACTCCTTCACTCCGATCCCAGTGGTAGATATTGGTATAGCTAAAAATACTTGCTAATCACTAGCTAATTTATAGATGATTCTCCTAATCTGAAACCACACTTGCTAATGCCGTCACAGGAAGATAATCACAATAAATACGGACCGATTCAAATAACCTCAACATGCTAAACAGTTCCACTATAAAGAGGGTTCAAAAGCATAATCTCATATAATAAAACTCTGAAGATCCAAAACAAGTTGTGCAAATCTCTAGATAATTTCAAATGCATATATATACAAAAGCAATAAGCTGATTTGAAAGTCGACAAATGTTGTTGGCAATTCGAGAGAGATTACCAATAACCATATTAGAAGCTTCAAGCTGCTCCTTTCAAGGCTTTCTTCAGCTCCTCTGCTACGTCACCCTCTTCCTTGCTTTTCTTCCCGCCGTAATCCGAAGTCGTCGTCCTCTCGCTGCTCCACCGATCAGCTCTTGCTCTCCCGCCGTTGTTGCTCCTCTCTGGTTCGCGGTACTTTGAGTGCGATCCGTAATCTATTGTCGCCGGCGAGTATGGACGAACGTTTGATATCACTTCACGGAGATCTTCCACGGCTCTCTTTAATTGTTTGTTCTCCGTTCGAAGCTCCTCCATCTGCCGATTCACGGCTAAACACGCCTCCGCCACGTCACCACTATTGGTGACCTGACCCGGACCCGAAACTTTACCCGGATCGCTCGTAGACTTGGTCAATCTAGCATCTGCGCCGTCCACGTGTTCGATTCCGATTTTATTCATCACCAAAAAAGGGAATCTCCTCATCGAAATCGCAGCCGTGGGATCGAAATCGTGTCTGATCTCCGTGGGAACCCTAACGCCCCACCGGAAATTCAAAACGGCGCGTCCTCTCACAGGCAGAGACGTCCTCGCGGCAACCTCAACGCCTGAGAGCAATCCAGCGATATCTCCGGCAGAAGTCGAAGGCAGAACGGTTACTTTTCTAAATCCCCCGCCGCATCCGTTGACAGCAGGAGTATCGACCACCTCAATCGAAGAATCCTCTTCCGAAACAGATCCATTCATCGATTTGATAAGATGCCTCTCGAATCCAGACGAGGAATGAGACTTTTTAATGGAGAAATCGCCGAATTGGGGTTTGAAGTGAAGCATAAAGCTAGGGTTTCCTTTACCCAGGAGATTGAATTCAGCGCTCATAAGCATGGAGGATGAGGTGGGAGAACCGAAGGATCCCGTCCCGGTTTTGACGATAAGAGAGAAAGGATTCCAGGAATCGTTAGGGCGGTAAGCGACCTTGAGAGAAGGACCAGATTCGAAGAAAGTGGAGAGATTGAGGCTGAGCTCCTTGGATTCACCGGCGACGATGCCAGATTGAAAAGGTAAACCTAAGATACTGAGAGGAACCTTAGCCCTAAAAAGAGGCTTTTGCTCTTCCCGAAACTTCATAGACGCCTTCATCTTCTTCTCCGCAGAAGCCCTAAAAATTGAATTCAACAAGTAACTAGGGAGGAGAGTACAGTGATCGAGAGGTATATAAGGATGGATTTATACCAGTTCTTTTTTATTTTTTCCTATAGTTTTAAAGGAACATTTCCATATATTTGTTTCTTAAGAATTGGGAATATTGAAAAAGATTCTGGTTGGACATGAGGATAAAGGACAAGTCGTTTCTCGATATTACCCTCGTGTTACATGAAGAATAACGGGCAATGCATAGGCTAACTGGGTCTGCGCTGTAATAATGTGGGGCGAAAAGAGATAAGCTGGTGAATGCTCTCAAAACAAAAAATGAAAGGTGGACAAAATCTCTGGTGGTTTGTTTATCTGTTCTACTTCTGTCGTTTCTGTTTTTTTTTTTTTTCCACCCTCTCCTACGCATTGAGCCCATAAACATAAATGGGCATTATTGGTTCAAAAAGCCCAGTATTACGAATGGGTGATACTAATGAGGCCTGTACGCTACGCTGGGCTCTCTCTCTCACAAGAAAGAAATGCGTCTTTAAAACGAGAGAGATGAACAAATCGCGAGAGCGTTACAAAATACAATAATTTTGGTGGCTGATTTAGAATCCGTGTGTTGAACTTGTTGTTACTCTCTTTGTTGCCACATTTCGTTTTGATAAATTACATCAAAGATTTTTTTTTCATATACAATCATTTTGGATCAAAGAAAATAAGGTGGACGTTATGATGAAGAACTGAAGTATGTATGGAGAGAGCTGTCCAAAACAGATAATGAGTATTATATCGTCAAGGTTTTATAGCAGAATTTACCAAACTATACAAACAGAAGACTTTGCAATATATTCATTCATTCACAATTCCAAACACAGATATTATAAGTTCCACAAGAAAAAAGTCATCTATGAACTTTAAATTAACAAATCAAACTTAAAAACTTGCTGAAAATATAAGAGGGGGGGGGGGGTCCATATTATATCCAGCTAAGCTAAGAGATGTACAAAGAAGAAGAAATTGTGAAAACTGGGAACCACGTCAAACAACCCACCACACATATTGAGATTTGGAGAGAGGACCACCATCTCCATCTATACGGCTCTTGGGATGGACACGTGTCTGACATCCGATGGTTGAGTCCCCCGCATGTGGGCCGAATCTAAAAAGAGAGCAAAAGACTCGTGTGTCTGTGTGTGTTCGTTCGTTCGGGACTCTGAGTCTCTGACGCACGCATTTGTACATAAAGCCTCTTACTACAAAAACCATATCCTTTCCGTTGAGTTCCACCTCTCTCCCTCCCTCTTCTATCTTTCTAGCCGTTGGATCTCTTTCATATCTCTCTACTCTTAATCCGACGTTCATTACCCACATTGTACGTAGTCATATATAGTGATCGAATCATTCTACATTGAGTCTATTAGTATAATGCAGTTTAGTTCGATAAATATATATATATATATATACTGTATATATGGTCTGAGACCAAAGTTAGATTGTGCAACAAAAACTTGGAGGGTTTAATTATAAGGGTTTAGTCTTTTCTTTTCTTTAACTGAGGATGATCGACACACGTATATTCTCTAATTAATTGACGTATTTTAGTAGCATATATATAATATATGTATAGATATTTAGCTACGACTCTGGTTGTCTTCATTAACTTATTTTCTTGAAAAGTTGTCATAATTCATATACGATATTAATATCTATAATATAGAATCTGCGTAGCAATGCATTCTGGTAATATTCTTTTGTTATTCGTGGTTGATCACTAATATATATGAGCTTGTTGTATATAGATTTCGATATGTTTTAGATAATGTATATATGCGTTGGAAGTTCGTGTTCCATAAATTATATACATATATATAGAAGTGTGTATGAATATATGTAATTAAGCTTATTATTGTTTATTTCTTAAGAATGAGAGAAAAAAAAATGGTGAACAATATATAGACGTCAGGAATTGAAACTGCCTCGTGCATTAAGAGATAAAAGGACGTGATCAGACGACTAAAAGGTAAGAGAGAAAGGGTAAGTGAAAGTCGCAACAGAGTCATGCCATTCCCATGTCTTCACATTCTTCTTCTTACTTTGTTTTCCTTCTTTATCTTTCACTAATTACCTCCAACTTTTCTATACTAACTATTTTCTAATTTGTTCTAAAAAAATATAATCATATATGTTTGTTAATATTATGTTATAAGATCCTTTTAGTTGCTTCACTAATATAAACTAATCATTTGAATCATTAGGACTCGCTTGCAGTTAAACAACTTAATTAACGATGCATGCAATTCTAATTTTTGCGGCTATATATATATATATATATATATATATATATATGTGTGTGTGTGTGTGTGTTTAGCTGATACTTTAGACCAAACATGAAACTGATGTAAATGAAAAGTCGTCTCTGCAAATATTGATCTCTATCATTAACTAAAATACTAAACGTTAGCATAATAATATAAATGAATAATGTATGGTTGGAATTGGAAGATATTAAAAAACCAATCATAAGTTTGTTGAGCTTGTGTGCATTACATGGGGCCAAGTCTGTGAAATCCTACTTATCTATACCACTTGCGTTTATCTATTACACACACACAAGCACACATAGGCACAGAACAAGCCTTAAAATATTCCAAACATCACTTAAAATATTTAAATGAGGAATTAAAGAAATTACAACATGAATATTAATTTTGGTTAGTGGGAGGGGACCTATGTGCTTCCTTGTTCCTCTATTCCATGTCTTTTATAAGCTATCATTACTAACACATCTTTCTCATTATACAAGTACATGTAATTAACTAGTTAACTCAACTAGCTTCTTCTAATGATCAAATTATTTAACCCAACTAGTTAATTACTCCAATAAATGTAAATCAACAAGACCATAGAGATCCATTTGTTTAATATATATATATTTCCTTACTAGTATATAATTTTAGATCATAGCTATAAATTTATTTAAAAAAATTATGGAGATGTGTTTTGAATATACTTTAATTTATCAAATAGATAAACAACTGGATCATTAATTTATTTGCCAATTTTTATTATAAAAGGGGGAATAAAAGTTCATACTTATCAACTTTTTTCCTCCTATATATAACCTTCAAATATCTTCACTTTATACTATCAAATTCACCAACTCTCTTCTCTCTTTCTCTACTCTTTTTCTCTCCCTATATATTGCTATACAATAATCTCACAAACCCTATCCCTATTCTGAAAATGGAAGCCACGATCTTCGAGAAAAGAAGAAGCTCATCATCATCAAGCATATCGATGCACAAACAGTCATACTCCATAACCAAATCGAAGCCAAAGATCCGAATAATTCACATATTTGCTCCAGAGATCATCAAGACCGACGTTGCCAACTTCCGTGAGCTCGTCCAAAGCCTTACCGGGAAACCAGACGACGATCAGAAAGCCTTCAAAGCAAAACCTAGAAGAGATATTCACCGTCGTCTTCACCGTCAAGTCCAAGAGATGATCAGCACAGAGAAACTAAGGGAACCCGAGCATTGTGATCAAGGCTTCTGCTTAAACTCAGAAGAGATCTCGATGACTTGGAACGGTAATAATGTCGCTGGTGAGAGCTCCGGAGGGTTCTTGAATGGTCTGGGAGAATTAGAAGGTTTTATTCAAGAACTTGGTGATTTTCCGTATCTGCCCTTGTCTTCAATGGATGCTTCTGCTTCGTCTAATTCTTCTTCTTCCTCTCATTTACATGGTGGATCCGTTTTCTCAGATTCTCACCACCAATTCGCTTAACTCTGTCTCTCAAACGATGTATTCTTTTTTTCTTTTTCTTTTTTAAACGGTGTCTTATATTTTTGTTTATTAGGTTTTTTGTGGTAATGGATTTAATTTATTACATTTTTATTTGTTTAGTATGGTATGATGCTACTTCCTTTTCATGAAAACCTCTTTATGATTCTATTATTTTTCTCCCTTAAGGTTTGAATTCTGAGGTTTTGTTCGTTGTGTTAAACTAGTTAATGATTATTGTAAACACCCATCAAATGGAAGCAAACATCACTATAATCCAATATACTAATGAATTCAACAAAGGCGATTTTTGGAAATCGAATGAGACAAAACATAAAGTAGAGGAAGAAGAAGAGGTCTTATTGTGTCCGGACTCTAGAGATATACGGTGTTCGAGGTCGGTAAGTTGTATACACTTTTTGTTTTGTTACATTTACAGACAGAAACATACAGAGTAGGACATTTGTTTAACTGGTGTATTCAAGATTCTCTACAACGCTCGATGAAGAGGATGTTTCCACCCTTGTTAGAACTTCAGGCACTCCTGCGGTATCTCTTACAATCTACACAACAACGACAAAACTCGTTTTATAATACCCTTTTACCTTTTCAACTCTACTATGAACATAAAAGTACCGGAACTTACAAGAATCTCGTCGTCTAGATAAGATATCATGAAGAATCTTTGGTAAGTTCCACCTGAAAAGTCAATAACAACAACATTACGTGGTTACAATGCTACATGCGAGGAGGTGGAGATCTTAAAATGATGCTTATGGCTTACCAAGGGGAATTCTTAGACCATTGGCTAGAGTATCCTTGATAGGTTCAGGAAGCTGCTGCAACGTGGTGGAAGCTTGAGCCAATAAACCTCTTAGCTGTTCAGGTACTGCTTCTTCAATAACCGTTGGCGACTCGAGCATTCCTTCTAAATACTCTTCTTTCATCCTTAAAGGCCCTTCTATTGTCAATTTCGATGACACCATGAATTTGTTTTCTATCTGCATTAGTTTCAAAAGAAACAAAGAGTTGAGTCTGGTAATACATCCATAACTCTTCTCCAGAAAAGAAAACAAAAGTACATTTACCGAGTTCAGGAATTTGATGTTTGCGGTTGCCTTTGTGTTATTATCCTTGATGACTATGTCCATGGATGATAGACTCACCAATGTCGAAGGAAACCTCCTGCCACAATTCAAAACAGACATGAACTTTCAAGATATGAACCCAATGTTTCTGTGCTTATCCATGAGCAATATCTTAAGAACACTAACTCGGATATAACGAGGGCAGCAAGTGAACCAGGAGTATTGGACCCAAACCACTCAAAACTCCATCTTCCTTCAAGATAAGGAGACCTGGAAAGCTATTAGGAACCAGTTAAAGGCATTGGTCCCTCAGATATTACCTTAAAACTAGTAAGCTCAAATGGAGTAACCTACGTGGTTGGTCTAGGAGTTGGATTAAGCCGCTCAAGAGTCGTTATTCTCTCATTCACATCAATCCTTTGCATATCAGTGATCTTCCCTGAAACTAGAGCCTCAAATCCTCCAGCATCATTGAACTGTAATCTAAAATAGTTTCAGAGCTCCAACATAGGGAAATAGAAAAAAAGCACAAGTCTCACTGAATATAATAGCAACCTGTGTGAACCATCCAAGCAATCTAAGAATCTCCAATACCAAATACTAAACTCAACCTAATTCTCACCAGTTTCTAAGAAATCACAGCTGAAAGTTTCAATTTTTAAGAAGGTTCGAGGAACTAGAGAGTAGAGAGGAGAATTATACGGCGAGAATAAGCGATTCCTTAGCAGAGAGACGCTCCATTTCCCTGGCGTAAACGGAAGGGATCCCTTGAACAGACTCTTGAACCATAGCTCTGCTTATCATTCTCCGGCAACAACTCTTCCTCCAACCCTTCTTCTCCGGCTGAAAATTGAAAGGAACCTTGGACGTCAACGGAGGAGAAGACGACGGTGGTGATACGGAGGATGAGAAGCTCAATTGAACCGCAGAGGTCCCAGAAACCGAACCATGTTGTATCAATGCCATTGAAGAGGGAGGTCGAAAGGCGAATAATGTCAAAGTTTGGTTTTTTATTTATTTGGCTGCCTGAGGAAAGGAGTAGGTAGAAGAAGACGAGACAAGCAGAGTCTCGAACTAGTAACTAATTTTTTTTTTCTCTCACTTTTAGAATTTAGATAGAAAAATATAAATTGAAAAAAAAGAAACTTATAATAAAACGAACCCAACTAATTTAGCTCTAATAATATCCGAACGCAAAAAGAAACTCAAACAAAAATCAATGTGGCACAATTTTACATGATTGAAACTCAAACAAAAATCAGTAAGGAATATATATATATATTTTTTTTTTTATAATTTTGTATAGTTTATAAATGTATGTTAAAATTAGTAAATTATTCAAAAATCGTGTAAAGGCATAGTATTTACTGTAAAACAAAAGGAGTGCTAAAATACTAAACAAAAACATTGCAAAGCAGCTACTAGTCTACTACTATAAAAATTTGCTTACACGCTATAAATTTTGTGCATTTATTTTCCATATGATTCGCTTACTTAAAGATATTAGATCAAAATGGAAAAGTAGAAATATATCAAGAACTTTTACATAAAGACAATAAAATAAGACAAGAAAAGAGCATTAAAATTGGAGCTTTCCATGATCAAAAAACCCTATAGGAAAAAAAAAAGGCAAGATGGAGATATGAAGAAGGAGAAGTAGATAAAAATATATATATTGTTGCCATTATAATCGGTAAAAACTTATTAGTAAAATGTAAATTAATGATACTCGTGCTTCATAGCTAATTAACTGTTATAGCTTATGTTTTAATACTATATATATTTGATTATTTCCATTTAACTCGTTTTATTTGGGAAGAATAAAGGAAAGAGTCGAGCTTATAAATTAAAGGACGATCGACACAAAGTTTCCTCCGTTATTGAAAGATTAAAAATCACGATCGTTTTCTGTTTTTGTTAGGTTTGCTATTTCCCCTGGAGAAGAAGATGATGATGAAGTCTTGTTCCTCACCGATGATGATGAAATCCCTGACCGCTTGTCTAATTTTAACCCTTTTGATAGTTTCGGTCTCCGCAAGAGGAGGTGGTGGCGGTCATGGTGGCGGCGGTGGTCGCGGTAGAGGTGGTCGCGGTGGCAATGATGGTAGATATTTCTTTGGTGGTCATACATATCACAGGCATCATCGCAACAGCTCTTCCGCTGTCGGTTCAAATACGGGTCTAACGATGACATGCTTGGTGTCTTGTGTTTTAGCCATGTTGTTCCAAGGATTCTGAACTTTCGAGAAAGTGAAGAAGTTAGCATAACTATGGCTTTTAGTTTCTTTAGTAGTTATAGACATTTTAGACATTTCTTTTGCGTGTAAGTCACGATATATATCTATCTATATCAATTTTATTTTATGAATGAAACGTTTTTATTAGGGTTCGGTAATTAGTTTGGATTTCTTGTCACGTTTGGTTTGAAACGAAATTACTCTGCTTGCGAGAGGGGTTTACACAGTTACAATCATCATCGCATCATCCCTAAACAACATTAAGTTCACAAAATCACATTCGAATACACCCAACTTAATTACAGTCTCTATATAAAACTAGACATGAGTTGACGTCTTCATGTATATATATAAATTAGAAATGTTTTGAGAAAAAAATGACATGCTTGGAAATATTGAGTTGGGCTTTGAAGAGATGTTAGGCCCTTTATTCTTGAGGCTATAAATGGGCTTTTAAGACATGTTAGGCCCTTTATTATTGAGGCTCCAAATGGGCTTTTCACTTGCTTCATCCTTCCTCTGTTTCGAGCGATAAAAGACCACTGAACTAAAAAAAAAAGTAATTGAAATGGTGGTGGTTAGATCTCTTTGCCGCCGGAGATGATCGCCGCCATAAGAGCAGCGATTCTCAAGCCACAGGACTGCTGCTCTCACCTCAAAACAGCGTTTTTCCATTCTACTCCTATCTTACAACGCAAACATCAATCCGTCAGTCTCTCCCAGCTCTGTGTTTCTTCTTCTCCCCCAATTTTTTTTGTGTTTTGTTTCTGCTTCTTAATCGATTCCTGAGAAAGTGTTTCTCAATGATTTGTGTTGGTTCAGTTTGTTGGGGTTCAATATTTCTGTTGACCGTTTTGATTTCACACCTTTTTTGTCATCTGATAGGATTGGAAAGCTCGGAATAAAAGGTTGGGAAGAAAGAGGGCAAAGCAAGATTTGCGTCGTAATGTGAATTCTTTTGCGCAACACTTATTTGGGGTAAAAATCTCGACATTGTGTGGAACAAATTTTCTTCATTGTGAGAAGCTTTCAGTTTGATGCAATTTTGTTGTAAATTGGTTATCCCTGATTTGGAGTGATGATGGGTTTGATTACTCTGGTAAACACTTCGTGGTTTCAGAAACAGTACTCCAGGGTTTCCAAAAGAAATCGCAAGGGTATACGCATCCCTCAAAATTTGGATACAAGTAAGACAACTCTCCTCTTGCCAATGCTTTCTCTTCAATGACTGCTCTTTCTACAGGGTTCTGTCTATAGACTGTGTTTTTGCTACTTATGCTAGTGGTAAGAGTTTATGCTAATTGTTTAGTAAAAATGGCTGTCCTCTAACAATGCTTTCACTTATGTAGGATGTTTTGATTTTAGCGGAGTTGATGATGGATCTGAAATTGAATACTTTTTACGGAATGCATTGGGTGGATCCCGGGGTTTCTCTTGGTCAAACACTCGTCAAGAGGGGGGAGCTCGCTCAGGGAGGTATTCTTACAACTTTAGAAAATCCTGGGGCTCGAGATACCGATTAGACGAAGAAGAAGAAGAAGCCGACGAGTATTCTTCTAAAGAATTTAGCGACACAGAACCAGTCCAGGAGTCTCATCGACAAGCTCTTGGTTTGAGTTCCTCAGGTCCTTTAAACCTTGAAGATGTCAAAATGGCGTAAGTAAAAGTTATTCACTTCATCTCATCAAAGGAAACCAATAGTTACATCTATCATGTTCTACTGATCTTCACAATTCTTACCTCACACCATTATTACTCAGATATCGAGCTTGTGCATTAAAATGGCATCCAGATCGTCACCAGGCCTCTACCAAGGTAACTGATACATTCTCCTCCTCTATGAATACCACTTCATTGCGTTTTTGGCAACTTAATGCGTAGAGGCACCTGGTAAGTGTTCCTTGACACTGACTACAAATTGGTAATGATGAAACACAGAATGCAGCCGAGGAAAAATTCAAGCTCTGCACTGTGGCATATCAATCTTTATGCGAAAAGCTAGCCACAAACTAATGGTGTAGTTTTTATCACCTTGGGTTTTAAAAGACACAATGATAGGAATTCAATAGGCAAGTTGTTCAGAGATCTCTTATAACCTTTAGCTCAAGCAAAGTACCTCAGGTGGGGGTGGTGTGTATTTATCTCACATATGAGATATCACAAGATCTTACTCTGACCACTCCACAGATTTTGGATTGTTGAACCCGGCTTCGTTGGTCAGAATGAATCACATCGAAACCCTGTTTTACTCCAGCTTTCTTTGCTTAACAATGGAAAGTTGGGACAAACTTCCATTTGATGATAGCTACATGCTGTATTCAGGATATAGTTTTAAATTTAAGTTCATATTATTGGCTGGCACTTGGTTACATGTAATGCTCAGAGCAATGCAGATGATCTTTGAGCTAAGAGATTGATGAAGACATGCACATCGAGGTCAACATTTCAATAGATGTAATATACATGTATTGTATTGTATGATTTTCACATCGAGACAACATGTTATCCTTCACTAACAATTATTACTTCACGAGCAACTTTTTACATGTATTGTATGATTTTCAAGTCAAAAGTAAAGATTCTCAGGTGAACAAGATACTAACACTTGTAAATTTAGAGAAAAGGAAAAGAAATCCGAAGTATATTATAAACAAGGGTTTTAAGGACACAAGTGAAAGAGTTTTGGTATGCATATTAGTAGAAACCCATTAGGTATCTTTCAACTTTTTCGTCCTTTAGTTATCATCATAATCAGTTTCTTTCTCTAATGAGAGAAAACAAACTCGTCGCACCCAAAAAGAAAAAAAGAAAAAAAAAGATTCTAAAATTCCCTAGCCGTCCGATCAGAAAAGAGCGTGATCATCGCGTAGAACTTAAGACCATCATCCTTTTGCCTAAACCGGAGCGTACCAGATTCGCCTCTCTCCTCTCTCTCTCTCTGCTTAGAGAGGTTTGGGTTCGTTTTCCCACTTAAGCCAAATTGGACAAGATTTGGACGTTTCTGTATCTTTCCTCTCTCTTTCTCTCTCTAAAAGCACACAAAAGAAAAAAAAAAAAGGGGGCGAATTTTTCCATGGCGTTGTCGGAGTTTGAGCTAGCTCTGAGCTTGGTGTTGTTGTTCTAGCTGTGATTTGATTAACCGACCCATGGTCTTATGATTTTACACGAGCTAATCCAAAGTCCCGGTCGTTGATTGATTTTGTTCTTTCTCTCTCTCTCCAGCTCAAGATTTTTCTGATTTGTTTCTGTTACCATTTGTATTTGTAAGATTTGTATCGGTTTTTGGATTTTGTTAAGCTGATTCTTTTTTGCTGGATCGAGAGTTGAACAACTTGGAGGGGTTTCTTCAATCTGGGTTTCGTTTCTTTTGTAATAGAAAGGTTGTGGGATTTTGAGAATTAGGGTTTTCTGATTGGGGGGGTTTTCTTCATGATGGGGTGGTATCTTCAAATTGTTTCTGGAGATCCAGGATTGGCTCATTAATGGAATAATGGCTAGTCTCTTGTCGTCGTCTGTATTTGTAACTAGCATCTTCTTCGTCCAAAGGCTCCTCTTTTCCTAGTTAATCCACCTCCACCTATTGAATCTGAAGCAAATCTGAGATTCTACCAAACTCCCACGCCTTTGTATATTGCTTCTACGGTAAATTTCTCTTCATCTTTTTGTTGTTGATTCAACTCTTTTCTATTGCAATGTTTGGAATTTTGCTTCCCCCTTTTGTTAATTCATCTGGTGTACGATCTCTTAGCTTTCCTAGTTTGGAGTTATACTGTGTAGCTGTGGAATCATGTCTTGTGTAGACAGAATTTAGGCTTTGTGTTCTTGTTCCAAATGTTTTTTCTTTTACTTTGTCTATGCTTATGTCTGGTTTTATTTATATCTGGTGGATATACTTCCAAAGCTCATACTAGAAATCTTTTCCTTTTTAAAATTGTGAATTCATTCAGTAGATTGAAAGTTTATTGTATTTGATTCTGTTTAATATTAGTTTCTTTTGTTTCCCTCTACAAACTTTTATCATAGCAACTTGTAAGCCGGATAAGCTTATATCGTGTCATTGATTTTCTTCCCTGCAGAATAATAAAGATCACACGGAGTACATATTGTTCATCCGCAAGTGAAAGCAAGAGCCTTTTGTTTATTGATGGGTGAGGAGTTAGCTGACACAATGAACCTGGATTTGAATCTAGGGCCTGGTCCTGAATCAGATCTCCAACCGGCACCAAACGAGACTGTCAATTTGGCTGATTGGACTAATGACCCGTCTGAGAGATCTTCCGAAGCTGTGACAAGGATCAGGACTCGGCATAGGACACGATTCCGACAGCTTAATCTCCCCATCCCGGTTCTATCTGAAACCCATACCATGGCTATAGAACTTAACCAATTGATGGGAACTTCTGTAAATGGAGCTGCTATGCAAACCGGTGAGGGTAGTGAAAGAGGCAATGAGGATCTGAAAATGTGTGAGAATGGCGACGGAGCCATTGGGGACGGTGTATCAGAGAAGAAAGCCGATGTCGAGAAAAGCAGTGGCTGTGACGGTAACTTTTTCGATTGTAATATATGTTTGGATTTGTCAAAGGAGCCAGTTCTCACCTGTTGTGGCCATCTTTACTGTTGGCCTTGTCTGTACCAATGGTTACAAATTTCGGATGCAAAGGAGTGTCCTGTTTGCAAAGGAGAGGTGACCCCCAAAACCGTAACACCCATCTATGGGCGCGGAAACCACAAAAGAGAAATTGAAGAGAGTTTAGATACTAAGATCCCCATGAGACCACATGCGAGACGCATCGAGAGCTTGAGGAACACAATTCAAAGGTCGCCGTTTACAATACCAATGGAAGAAATGATTAGACGTATACAGAATAGGTTTGACAGGGATTCAACCCCGGTCCCTGATTTTAGTAACCGCGAGGCATCAGAAAGAGTGAATGATCGAGCCAATTCGATTCTTAACCGGTTGATGACATCTAGGGGAGTTAGATCAGAGCAGAACCAGGCTAGTGCGGCAGCAGCAGCGATCGTAGCTGCATCAGAGGATATCGATCTAAACCCGAACATTGCTCCTGATCTCGAAGGAGAAACTACCACGAGATTCCATCCTATGCTGATCAGGAGACAGCTACAGTCACACCGAGTTGCAAGGATCTCGACATTCACATCTGCACTGAGTTCAGCTGAGAGGCTTGTGGATGCATATTTTAGAACTCATCCAATGGGGAGGAACCACCAAGAGCAAAACCATCATGCTCCTGTAGTGGTTGATGATAGGGACTCATTCTCAAGCATTGCAGCTGTTATAAACTCTGAGAGTCAAGTGGATACTGCAGTTGAGATTGATTCTATGGTGACTCTCTCGACATCTTCATCGAGGAGAAGGAATGAGAATGGTTCGAGGGTTTCTGATGTAGACAGTGCAGATTCTCGTCCGCCTAGGAGAAGGAGATTTACTTGAGAAACAACAATAAAATAAAGAAAGCTTTCAACCAGGAAGCTGACGATGATGATTAAGAAGAAGAAGAAGAAGAAGATTGTAACTTTATTTTTCTCTGTGTTGCTGCTTGTTGGTTTGTTGTAATTTGTTTTGTATTTTTCTCAATAGGGATATGGTATTTTTAATCGAAATTTTTCTTTCATCTTTTTTTTTTATTCTGATTGAACCTGGCCAGTCTCTCAATAGTTTGAATGCATTATGAAATGTGTTAAAGAGAACCTATACACAAATTTGTATAGGGTTATCATGAACATATAAAACACCATAATGGAAAAGCCTAATCAAGCAATAATTAACTGTTTTCGAAATCATAATTAGATAACATTTTTTTTTTTTTAAACACTGATGGTGTTTACTGTTTAATAATGTGATAATCTTTTCAACTTTTGAGTTTTGAGATAGGAAATACAGTTTCTATATAAACATGTTTTTTAAAATATTCACAACAAGTCGCTTTGGCCGAGTGGTTAAGGCGTTTGCCTGCTAAGTAAATGGGGTTTCCCCGCGAGAGTTCGAATCTCTCAGGCGACGATAATTTTTTAATATATAATTTTCCCCTTTCTATCATTTACTTTTTACTCTGACTTCATAACTTTTATATGATTGTATTTTTTTTCTTTCTTTTTGGGGAGTACAAATTTTGTAACAAAACGATGTTTACACAGATTACAGTATGTGGTACTAGAAAAATCCAAAAAGCTCTCAGCTGAGTACATGTCACATGCGCACAGCGACGTCCGACACGTCTATTATTCTGCTGAATGATCTCACTTCATATATTGTTTTCTTTTTCCTCCAATTATTTCACTTTTGATTACAAGTTAGTACATAAAAAAAAAAAAAAAACTCATTTGTATACTATTTTATGATATTCTATTTTCCAGTGTTTTGTTGGCAATAAAAAAAAAAGCACCGCATAAATACATTCACACGAGGGGGAGAAGAGGGCAAAGAAATATTAAACCCCACACACACAAAAAAACACAGACATCTTCCACCATTTTTAGGCTTTCATCATTTATAAAACTATAAAAAGATTCTTGGATTCTTGTATCTTAATAATTATAAGCTTCAAAACATGCTGCCAAACTATTTTAGTATCAGCTTATACGTGTAACCAACCTAATGACCTCTTTTGATTGAATTAACCTTATAGTAATAACTAATAAGTATCTCATTGGAAAATGGTTTTTGACAAAGTTATTAATAAAAAAAACAACCATGTCTAAATTACATGAAGCAAAATTGTAGTAACATTTACGTCAACGGCAGGTTTATACAATATATAAACGTGTAATGTCACATTTAAGAGGAATAAAAGAAAGAAAACTCTCTAAAACTTTTTTCTCTCTCTCAAAAAAACGAAAAAGTGTCATCTTTTTCCCTTCTTCGCCGGCGCCTTCGCCGGCGGCGGTCCGATCTCCCTCTTCTCTCTTCTCTTTCAGGCCCTCCCCTCCTCATGGGGAAGCAAAGTAAGAAGAAAAAGAAGTCCTCTCCCCCGAGGGGATCCCCTTCGATCCTGTCTTGTGTTTCGCCGTCCGTCTCGGTGCCTCCGCTGTCAGATTCGGTATCTTCGGGGGTGGCTGCTGACTCCGTACCAACCCTAAATGCCCAATCGACTGTCCCTGTGATAGACTTGGCCATTGCTCCAACGGATATTGTAGTTTCTTCCTCGGTTGAACCCCAGATCTCAAATGTTGCTTCTGTGAAACCCTCTGTGGCATCCCCAGGACCAACTTCAGCAGGCGTAAAGGATGGTAAGGCTCCCGTGGCCACTCAATCCGCCACCCCTACTGCGTCGGCCGCTACTGTGGCCAGCCCAAAAAATACAGCTCTAAAGGCATCAACTCCAGCTTTCTCCTGGGTTAACCATGCAAATGGTTCTGCCAAACCTCTCAAGAAAGAAGGAGAATCTTTCATCCTACCATCGGGAGAAGTATGTGTAAAAATCCCGAACTCGGTGATAGAAAGAAATCGAAAAACTTGGGACTGCTTTGTCCTCGGCCAATTCTATTCAGACCCTCCATCGCAGGGAGTGATTCATAACATTGTAAATGGAATTTGGAGTCGTCAATACAGGGATGTCACGGTCTCAAAATTGGAAGGTTTTGCTTTCCTTTTCAGAATCCCAAACATCTCAACAAGAAACAGAGTCATAAATCAAAGGCTTTGGCAGATTGAAGGGCAAACGATGTTCGTCGCCAAATGGGAGCCGAGTGTGGTACCAGAGAAGCCCGAGCTCTCCTCCGCGCCAATCTGGCTTGAGCTAAGAAAGGTACCTCTTCAATTCTTCCATGAGGAGGGTCTTCAGCATATTGCAGGACTGGTTGGCGATCCTAAATTCCTTCACCCGTCTACTGCAAATAAGACAAATCTAGAGGTTGCAAAAGTTTTCACGATAATCGACCCAAGGAAGCCGCTTCCGGAGGCGGTTAATATCCAGTTCGACTCGGGTCAGATTGAGCGGGTGTTAGTTTCAAGTCCCTGGATGCCCCCAGTTTGTAGCCACTGCAAGGAAATCGGTCATCCTGCTCGTCGCTGTCCGACAGCATCTATTTCTTGCAAAACTTGTAACTCTGTAGCTCACGCCACTGAGTCCTGTCCCAGGGCCAAAACTTCCTCATCAAAAAGGAAATACCAGAGAAAGAAGCATGTAGTTGACCCATTGCCTGCCTCTGCAACTGCTCCTGCTACTGCTCTTGCTACTGCTCCAAAGGCCCCTGAAACTGTGCAGGTTCCAACAAAGGCAAAGTCAATGGAAAAGAAACTGTTAGTTGGTGATTCTAGTGGTCTGTCTGTTCAGAGTAAAGCAAATGAACCACCTGTTGTACCTAACACAGACAACAAGGGCTCTTCTTCAGAGGTGGAGGAAGACTCTTCAGATACTTTGTCATCTGATCCTGAAACGGATGTGTCTCCGGAAGATGATTTTTTGGATTATACTGAAGTGTTGCCCCGTAAGCGGCGAACAGGTTTGAGAGGCAAGGGCCTCAAACCCAAATAATTATATATGTATACAAATATTTTTTGTTGGAACGTCCGCGGCTTTAATATAGCAAGTCATCGGAGCGGTTTTAAAAAATGGGCTAGGCGTAATAAACCCCTTTTTGGCGGCTTAATAGAAACTCATGTTCAGCAGGCGAAGAGTAAGAGATTTATAAATGATCTCCTTCCCGGCTGGTTTTTGGAAGATAATTACTCCTTTTCAGATCTTGGCAAGATATGGATTTTGTGGCATCCAAGTGTGAAAGTGGTTGTGATTTCTAAATCGCTTCAGCTAGTGACTTGTGAAGTCCTTCTCCCAGACTCTCAAGCTTGGATCATTGTTTCTATAGTCTATGCTTCGAATGAAGAAAAGACTAGGTATGACCTGTGGGACGAGCTGAAAAACCTCTCCTCTTCTCAAGCTGTCTATGGCAAACCTTGGATTGTTCTTGGTGATTTTAATCAAATCCGTGATCCCTCTGAGCATTCTAACCCTGCAAGCTGAAATTCAACTAGACAGATGAGAGACTTTAGAGGGTGCTTAGAGACTTCAGAACTTTCTGATCTTGTTTTCAGGGGAAGCACTTTCACTTGGTGGAACAAATCTAAAACTCGGCCTGTGGCAAAAAAGCTGGATAGAGTCTTGGTAAATGATCAATGGTCTTCTTTCTTTCCCGAGGCTCTCGCTGTTTTTGGAGACCCGGATTTCTCTGATCATGCTTGTAGTGGGGTAATTTTGCAGCCGGCTAGATCGAGAATAAGAAGCCCCTTCAGGTTCTACAATCTGCTTCTCCTGAATCAGAATCTTATTCCCTTGGTTGCTAGTCACTGGTTCTCTTGCAATGTCTCAGGATCTGACATGTTTAGACTTGCATCCAAACTTAAGTCCCTAAAGAGCATTATCAGGCAATTCTCTAGAGAAAACTACTCAGATATTGAAAAAAGAACAAAAGAAGCGCATGAGCACTTGTTAAGATTTCAACGCAGAACTTTGGATTATCCTTCAGTCCGCAATGCAAGCAAAGAGCTGGCAGCTCAAGAGAGATGGCAAGAGCTTGCTACTGCTGAAGAATCCTTTTTCTTTCAAAGGTCCAGAATCTCTTGGATAGCTGAGGGTGATAGAAGTACAGCTTTTTTTCATCGTATGGTGGCAACAAGAAAGGCTGTAAACCAGATTCACTTTATGGAATGTGCTGATGGAACTCGGATTGAAAACCAACAGGACATTCGCGATCACTGTGTGAGCTATTTTTCTGATCTGTTGGGAGGTCCTGTTCCTCCTTCTTCTTTGGTTAAAAGTGACATGGACCTTCTTCTCCCTTTCAGATGTTCTCCTGCCCAGAAAATATCCTTGGAAAAACAGTTTACTTCTGAGGAGATAAAACAAGCGTTTTACTCTCTTCCCAGAAATAAGACTAGCGGTCCGGATGGATACTCTGCTGAATTCTTCACCGGATGCTGGTCTGTAATTGGCTCTGAGGTTACTGCAGCAGTTTCTGAGTTCTTCAAGTCAGGTCAGATGCTGAGACAATGGAATGCCACTAACCTAGTCCTCATTCCGAAGGTCACTAATGCTGCAAAGACTTCGGATTTCAGGCCCATCTCCTGCCTCAACACAGTCTATAAGGTTATTTCAAAGCTTCTTGCTTCTAGACTACAGTCCATTCTCTCTGAGTTTATATCACCTGCGCAATCAGCTTTCCTTCCCGGGAGACTTTTGGCGGAAAATGTGTTATTAGCAACAGAGGTGGTTCAGGGTTATAACAGAAAGCAGATTTCTCCAAGAGCAATGTTGAAAGTTGATTTAAGGAAAGCCTTCGATTCTGTCAGATGGGACTTCCTGCTTTCAGCTTTGCACGCCTTGGGTATCCCGGCAAAGTTTATCGGCTGGATTCATGAATGCATAACCACTCCCTCTTTCTCTATTTGTCTTAATGGCACCACAAGTGGTTTCTTCACAAGTACAAAAGGTCTTCGTCAAGGTGATCCGCTCTCGCCTTATCTCTTTGTTCTCGCTATGAAAGTTTTTTCCAGCCTTTTGCTTTCGAGGTATGAAGCAGGCTACATAAAGTTCCACCCCAAAACCGCAGACCTAAACATCTCTCACCTGATGTTTGCGGATGATGTTATGATCTTCTTTGATGGGGGTGAATTTTCTCTC